CACTTCATAGGCAACGGAACTATGAGACATCGTCTTTCAGATCGTTTCGAATCAAACGTCATCCCATCAACCCGCCAACCACACCTTCAACCTCGACTCTGACGCATTTATCACGAATCATGCTTTACAGTCAGTATCCAGCATTCAAGTTCATATAAACATTACCGACAAATTAAGCTCAAATGATACCGCCCTGGTTTAACCAATCCTAAATTGAAATTCCATTTCATACTTTCCCTACCCTACTTCAAGAACGGCGTTCTGAAGTACCTAGACTTTTCCAACTGCTTCCATCAACCTATCATGGATAAGGAGAAGCTTTTCTCAGAGAAGCAAATCTTCAGCTGCTTTCATGCTGGTCTTCATTCCATCTGAAAGCTACTCGTTAAATATGCGAGGGAGATTGACATGGAAGAAAACGAACGTGATCGATAATACTTAAATTTCAGTACGTGAGAGTGATCAACGTGAGCTAATAATTTTCTCACAAGATTGAAGATGGCTTTAACAGCCGATTCGATCATTAAATCTATTGTTTTGTCAGACTTCGGTCCGCTAATGTATACGAGAAGTTTCAATCAAAGTCTGATCTTCATATGCTGTCTATTTTCGAGAACTGCAGGAGTCTGACTAATTAGAAGTGGGATTTAAAACATTGCAAATAATGTTAACGTTTCTACAACGCACTCACCTTTGAGGCCTCCAAGTAAGGAAGCGCAGACCCAATTTTTCATACCGTCATAAAAAGACGCGCATCGGGCTTATGTTCTGGCGTTATTTATAGTAGTTCCGATGTACTTTGCCTCTGCGAATTTACAATAGCACAAGCATTAATTTTTTGCATTCTCACTTTTTCTGAAATTAAATGCTTTTGGCTGTAGTAAAATTCTTATTCTTTATGCTTGTGTTTTAATTCTCTTTCTCAACATAGTACAAGTACTCCACTTTTGAACAATGGAGAGCAAAACAAGCACATTTGCTTACGCTTAGATTCAGGTTTAATTTCACGATCTAACCGTTTACCAGCTGAACTGAATACTAACAACCAAATTTGGATATAGTAATAGTAGAGAAAAATTGCATCAGAATACAGCAAAGTGAATGCTAAATCCACATAAGCAAGAATAGTACAAAACATAAAAACCTGAACACAAACTCAAAGCATTCTGTACGTCGTATATTCTTGCGCTGTATGAGGCGAATTCATATTTAGCACTTTATTATCGGCCAACGGAATGGTTAATTTTGAAAGGGCATTTTCTCTACCTGCGATTGATTTCGTTGGCGTTGCAAGGAATGCTGAAAACAATCGACTTCCATCGAACAGTCTCACTGTTGCACTGGAAGGTGGTAAAATAACTACGGGTTGATGCAACTTTTAAGTATGGGATGCATGTCAGTGTAAACAGGATGTTTGGTGTCAGAGAAACTGTTATCCCCAGCTTAAATGCACACAACTAGCAACTAAAGAGAGTTAATTACATCCGCAGAGATTTGCTGCTAGCTTCAGCAGGTGTCAGATGCAACCATAGTGGCGACCGTTGAGATCATTCGGCGTGCGTGGAGTGCTGAAAAGTGACATCATACAACCTTATTCGAAAACAAACTATGACATATGTTGCTTCATTTATAGTCGCCAAAAGAATAACTGAAAGTATAGCAGCCCATGAGAACTTTTCGATTTTTACCAGAATCAGTTGCCCACTACGTCGCTTCTCAGGTTCCAACGAAAAAATCAGGCTCGCGAAAGCGACTTGTTTTTGAGCAGAGATTCATAAGATAAAAATTATGTCCATAAAGATTAAATTTGAGAAATAGCGAATACAGCAACATAAATTTTTGACCAATAGAGATATTTTGAGTTGACATATGAATCGATTAACATTGATTTTGCTTTTAATGCCGTCACCAGCATGGCCTAGCCGGCTCCAGTAGCGTCCTGAATC